CTCTTTTGTCTGCCACCTACCTCTGACCAACTCATTACTAACTAATTCTACAATAAGCTCAATGAACTGTACATGGATAAGGTTATGCTCGTTGATATAAAGCCTCCTGAAAATGCCCTAGACATTATGTCATCTTGTGACATAGCTTCTGCATGATGCAGCTTCTGCTCTGAAACTCTTATGACACTTCACGCGATGCTTGTCCTCCGTCGCAACAAAGGAGTCGCTGATGGTTTCTACGTGGACGGTGAAGTGGGGGGGTATCAATTTAGACAAAGCTCAGAAATTATGATCAAAAAGGACAGACGCCAACTTGTAACAAGGCAATCCGGTGCTAAGCCTTGCTAGACTAGCAGATCCAAAGCTCTCAGGATCCCTGGGTGACTTGGATACTTATCAATTTCCCACTTGCATGTACAGTACCTTTCAGTTTTGCCGAGGAAAAATATCCAGTATACAGTTCAGTTCCAATGCAGTCAGAAATCCCGTTAGAAAGTGAGCCTGTCCAGGCTCCATATAATATTAATATCTCGGACCGTGGGCACGGGAACTAACGCATAGAAGTATTGTGACAGAAAGTCCAGCCGAAAGGAGGATATCAGATTGGAATATATGCCCTTCATTCAATATTGCAAAGCGCTCTAATATCTCTAGACGTATGTAAGAACACCAAGTTTCATCCCTAATAAGTTATCATTTTATATATTACGCATTTTGAAAATCCAATCGCCACCTAATGATATGTAGCACAAACACAAATACAAATGCCCACTAATTGGACATAGACAGTAAGGGTCTATATTTAAACCCCAAAGCGTTGTCGGGAATTGAAGAAGAGTGATATATCCTTTATGCGTAGCAAGGAATGAGGGAAGGGGTATTATAAAATATTCAAGCATGTCTATATTTAAATAAACCCTCCGTCTCTTTCTAACGACTCATCTGGCCCATCATAATAAGAATGGAGAATAAAAGGAAAATATTATTCGTCCCCATAGCCTTCTCACAGCCAGCGTAAGTAGGTTAAGGAATCCAAGCCACACTCCCAGCATTAAGTGGGTTCAACACAAAAGAGTCGACCCGGGGCCTGTTCTTTCCCCAGTGAAATGCTTATCATTCTTCCGTCCTCCTCCGGAGCCTGATAGGTTTCTCCCCGAGACTAAGACTTTCAAACTCCAATATCGGGCCGGCGACATGACTCAATGGACACTAAGCTCGGCATGGGGGCCACGAGCTATGGACATAACCAGCCCACATGGAGATAATGAATGCGCTGCATTCCGCCCGTGCCAAGTTATAGTGGTAGTCAATACCAACAGGCGAGGTGAGGGTAGAAACTTCCAGCGAGCCTGCGCTATAGTATTAGGTTTAACGAGCGAGTAGGTCAAGATAGTGATGTATAAGCACATAATAGGAAGAAGGAGAGAAAGAGGGAAATGCAGAGATCGTAACACTACTATTACAGATTAAATGAGTGGGAGAAATAAACAGGAACCAATCAAAGAACCAAGCAGAAGATAGATTGTAGAAAAGTAAATGAGAACAAGTCCGTAGAACAAAAGCTTTTCAGGTGCTGCTTTTCCTTTCCTGCTTTTCAAACATCCCACATCTCATTTTGTTATACACGTCGTTGACTCGTTGCGTTCATCCAATTACTGAATAGCGGGGAAAGACAGATAGGAGGAGTTGCTATCGTCCTCGGCCAGCAAGGAGATATTGTAAGTGGTTTTGCAGCCAAGCTCCTTCTCTTGTCCCACCAATTCCATCTCTCCTGTGTTTCTATATGTTTTTATGGTTTGGAAAGCAAGCCAAAAGAAAGAGACAAAATCAAATCGAGTTAAATCATAGGAGATAGACAATGACAGAAATAAAGCTAGGCTAAAAAGCAGAAACTAAGGACGAGATATACCGCGGCTCTCCCGGAGCACGCTATGCGTTGAGAGCTAGGAAAAAACAAAGAGAAAAGAAAAATAACTGTAGAAACGAGATTTATGTAGAAACGAGATTTATGTAGAAACGAGATTTATGTAGAAACGAGATTTATGAAGAAGTCACCGGAATATATCGTGACGCGTGAGGATTAGCAGTCGAGCCAGTCGACCGAATGGCGGCGAGAATCGTTGATCATGGTATCGAATTTCGTTCAATTTCGAAGTAGGAAGGGAGAAGTAGAGTGATGAGATACCAACAGTGGGCGAAGTTGGCGGAGTAGGTAGAGAAGGAACAGCCTGTGTTCCTGTAAAAGTTCATATCAAGAATAGGATCCAGAATGACTTCCATTCGACATTGCAGAAGAGCGGAGGTTGATCATAGTGTTAGGCTAGAGCTGTTGAAAGCGATAGCGCACAGCGCAGATCACTCAAGTCATCTCTAGCAAGTTTCCCAGCTGGGTGAAGATACCTGATATCCCAACAGGTAACGTAGGGGGGTTATCGAGGCCCGTTCCGCCCCAAACTTGCTCTCTCTCTCTCCACGCCGACTTCCAATCTCCCACTTGCCCGAATATTGCTTCAGTCGGGAGAAGCCGGGTTCTAAAGATATGGGCCTTTGCAGCTAGAGTAGCCAGAATCAGGACAATTCATGGTAGGTTTTGGGTAGGTGTTGGACTCCGTTCCCCGCGCCGAATGGACTGTGCACGCGTATCCAACAAGGACTGTCTTCTCTTGTACTACATGGCCGCGTTGACCATATGCCTCGCACGGGTCTACCGCATGACGGTGATAGAGGCAGCGACAGACGGAGTACCTTTCAACAACTTGGTAGCACATCTTGCTAAAAGTCTGTTCGCTTCTCTTGTTGTTTGTCAACTGGGAGGTCCGGAATAAACTGGGGGGATGTTGCGATATGCAGGCAAAAGCGGGATTGATGGAGCTTTTGCGATACAGCGGGAACAATTCAACGGTTAAGCTCTCGACAGCTAAGAGATGGAAATGCGGCAGAGTACTAGATCTGTGGAAAGTGGCGTAGTTGCAGGTGCAGATGCTCCAAAGGGGATGAAAAACAGCGCCAAATAAACAAGACAGGTATAATAGCAAGAAAACGACAAAAGAAATTAAAGAGTAGAGCGATATTTTATTGAAATGAATAAGTGGGTATAAATGGGGATTGAAATGAGAAAAATGATGTGTTAGAGGTGACAAACAGCATCATATATAACCAATTGAAAGTATACACCCAAGGCATCTATTAGTCGGGTGGAAGCCTAGGACAAGGAGAGAATGAGTCGTAATCAGGTCTAGAGTGGGAAAAAGGGGACAAAACCATCTAGGCAATCTTCCAAGGCTTGGAATTCGTGGACCGATCCTGCATCATGCTCCGCCTGAGGGGTTGAAAATTACCACAGGAGAGTGGATGGGAAACGGTCGACTTGGCCGCCGGCAACTGATTGATCCTCGATGTGCGGGTACAGAGCAACGTCCCGCTAGCCGTCACCTGCATAGCCAAACGGATCGCGGACATGCCCGAAAATAAGTGCTCAGGCCAAGCCAGTTCATCTTGAAATGGTGGAATGCTGTTACAATGAGGGGCCACATTTCAGCCAAATCCTCAGGCAGGACTTTCAGCGGATGCCTTTGTTAGCATCGTTGGCTCGTTGGTTACCCACGATATGGAAGTGTGGCTGTTCCCGCTTCGTTTTACCGCTAGCGATCTGTAACAAACGTGGTGCGCTTGCCAAGAAACCATTCGCACCAACCAAGCAGGAAGCAGGAAGTACTAAAGCGCATATAATAATCATCTGATATGGTTCTACCAAGGCGGTCCGCAGAGATTCGGGCACTACCCCTACCCGTGGGGCGAATTGGGAGGATGAGGCTGGAAGGTCAAACCAAAGCGCCCTCGATATGGCCATGACAGACGCTTGCCGGGGGGGGCACCCTTGGCTTCTTAGCCCGACTAGTGATTGGTAGTGTCATCCCGCTTCCCTGGAAATAGTAACGGACGGGGCACAACGCTGGCCTGTTACGAGTCAGCATATCGCTAGTAGTTAGCTAATTGAGGCTGGTGTCAGACTGACTTAGCCTAGGGATCGTGAGCATGGAGCAAGAATAGCTACATGATATACAGTTTTGCAGCATTAAACAGTTCTGTCTTCGGTTGTTTGTCTGCTAACCTAGTTATGACCATGTTGTGTGTATTAAATATTAGTCGAGGTTCTCTACATAGATAGAGTAGGACACGTGACTGGAGTAGCCGCCGGGGAGCTAACCAACATTGCTTTAAGTGTTCTCAGCCAGTGTCACACACCTATCTGCTCACTGCCAATTGCTTCAAAAACACAATAATAATTAATTACAAAAGCTGGCATCTAGTTTCCTCGTAGGGACTAGACCCATATGTGCAAAAATACATGCAAAACATGCAAGGAGAACGTTCTGTCCTTTCTGTATTGTATTACCCCCCCCCCTTTCTTCAGTTGTCTTGACACTGCGGGGTCTCATTCTCATAGTCAGTTCTATTGTATAGGCACTGTGGCCTAGCATCATGATTATGATTATTTCTCTCGCAGTATATTGTGGGGGCTCTCTCCCTTACTGGAGGCAAAAAGGATTCTCTCACAATGATGATATTGCCGGGTTCTCTCCGTCTAGGAGACAAAAGTATTCTCTCATGATATTCAAATTCCAGATCCCATGGCAGTATTTCCATCATTTTGGTATCGATATTGGTGATTATGGTTATACTGTTCTCCCCATTCTAGAACAATACAGAATGTGGGACACGTGACTGCAGTAGCCGGAGCAACTAAGCTGGGGCCATTCCTGCATGGCCTGGATTCCAGAACTGATGACTGGATGAAAAAGCTTCGCATGCTCTTTTTCTTGTGGCTCTATCGAGTCAAATTATACAGAAGAAATCCCTATTGATATGTCAAGAGTCCAGTTTGGGAAAATTGCAAGGGCCATATTATTCCACCCAAGGGCAGGAGTTTGCTTTTAATCTACGGGTTGAATCAAAAAATGACCACTGTAGACAAGCAAAAATCACTTGACAGCCATGTATCTGACAGATTTTGTTTCCGTCCGTTCACTCAATCTAGTAGAAATACTTAGAGAGACCCCACGGCCAAAGCAGAGAAGCCGGAGAAACTGGAATGCATTTTTCATTATTTTCATATAGAAACAGAATAAAATTATACAAAATAACCTCGGTAGAGAAAACCGACGGACCCATGCATCCCCGCCGTCGGCGGAGCTGTGCGCTGAAGCCTCAAGATCTCCATTTAACTAACAGACGTTAACCTGACAGAATGAAGGGGTGGCAAACATACACCTCCCCTCTAGCAATGCAGATTATCGTGAAATGCTCGGAATATTCTGGGGGCTGATTTGAGCAACCCTGTATATCCTGCTTGTCATTCGATTCCCATCATTAATATTAGCTCCGCAAGGAAGTCACTCCGCATCAGGGACAGGGGACAAGGCACAAAACAGCTTTGGAGAGAAATGAAATAGTAAAGAAGACTGGTAACGTCTGGATCCTCCTCCATGCAAGTGAGATCACCACTATGTACTCCCTCATGCAGTTTGCCACTTCAAGATTACGACAGGAGGAGCAGCTAGCGTAGCACTCGATCTTCCTCCGCTGGAAGGAGTCAGGTGGTGTATTTGTGATACAAGGATATGTTGAGGTATGCGATAGAGAATTCTCCTGAAAGGGAAGGCACTTCAGCCCTACAAATCCAGTCGCACAAGATGTCTGTTCGCATCACGCATCACGCATCAGCGCGCTATTTCAGGAATTGGCCCTAGCTGTAGCTTTATCGTCAGCCCTCGATGTCGGAATCTGCGGTTGAAACAAGGTTTTGCTGATTGGCTGGTTTGGCGAGCGAAAGCGTGGCTCCAGGGTTTGGTCAGCCCTACGCCTTGGCAGGGACCCACCTAAGTCTAATTTAGACTAGCGTACGGTACCACCACACACATCAATCACTGCGAATCTAGCCCTGCACAGCCACCTCGGATTTGGGTGGTTGATCTAGCGGTAAGATGGAGGGATTTCTCGAGCAGAGGGGGCCTGTGTTTCGAACCTCTAGGGGCAGTATGATATGGTAAATGATGGCCGCTTCTATCTTGAATACGGACATCTGCCGCTTACTTTTGTGGCCATTTCAAGTGTAATGTTGAGGGACTGCTGCTCCTGACGAACAAGAGTTCGGATTGAACATGAATAATGAGTAGCCCACGGAGTCGGTTACAATGTTCACACTGTCAGTCTTGTTATTTTGCGGGGAGGGGTGCATGAAATGTACGGTAAGGTTTTCGGTATCCGGGTACTCCGTACTTCGAAAAAACCATCCGCCTAAACGGAGGACTTTTTGGAAATATACAAGTGGAAGAACAAGATGCAAAAACATTTTAGAGCCAAAATCTATGGCTCCAACGAGCACCTCACAGTTAATGGGCCAGATTACTCCGAAACGGCGTTGTTCTGGCCATCCAATATTTCCTTGTACCCTCGATGTTTGGAGATCAGCTACAAACAGTATTCCGAGTAGTTGTTGACCGCTCTATCGCGGGGATGGATACCACATTGCCCAACCTTAATTCAGTCCGGTCCCTGTCAAGCATCATTCGTAATCATTCTTCAATTGTCAGCGTTGACTCATCAATCATACAGAAGAAGCTGATACCCTGAATAATCGTGTTAAACTCATCAATAGCAATCTCGGAGCATACCTCGGGCAATCTAGATTGCGTTACGTGCACATTGTCTGCGTTGACATGAACAATAACCTTGGTAGTGTTGGTCAGTGCTTGATTGAAGTCTGCCTTGCATCCAGCTCCAGAGTGGCAAAAGATTAGTGTCCCGAAATAACGCTGACAAGGGGGAAGGCTCACGTCTCAAAAAGGCAATTATGACAAGACCTTGAGAGTTAGTAATGTCTATACAGCTTACATTTATCAGGAATAGAGCGTTCAAGCTAGTAAATTTCCCAAGGTGGACTTGCCGAGATTCGGGATTCTCTAATTAGGATGATATTGATTACTGAAAGAGGGTTTTACGAAGGATTCCATCAATAGCACCATGCAGAGGCCGCCCAATCAATTTCTTACCACCAACTTTCTTTCCCAGTGCTGGAATGTTGGATACTTGGGGACGCCCATTATTGGACACTGTCAGCTTATTACTCTCTCCTTAATTAGCCTATCATTCAGCATAGGTGCCGTCCTAAGTTGCTTTGAAAAGTTGAAGTTCATTGGCACACAGGGGTGGGTGAGAAATTATTGAACTAACAGATGATACAACATTGAGCGGAAGGAGGGAAATGATAACTATCTAACATAGATATCTATTTAGATGAGAGATTGTAATCGGCTAAAGTACGAGCTGGGATATTCCTCAAAACCAAAGTTTGATCAAAACACAACCATAGGAACAGTTAGCTACCTTATGTTCTCCTTACTTTACTCATTTGAAATCTCTCAGCGAAGAGATATCACTAACGATTGCCTTGACACAGATACGTGTGAAAATTGGACCACTATTCTCACTGTGATCCACATATCCGTTTGAACTCTTCCTCAGTGTGATTCCACACCTCCTCAATCATCCCCTTATCGCGTAGTTCAGCCAACAGCTTCTTCACATCAGGAGATCCAGTCTCACAATCTGACCCTACGGAGTAGACGCCGCCCCCGATTGTCCCCGTGGTACTAATAGACATATCAGTTCCATCTGGAAGCGGCACAGAGGCAGAATTGCCTTGCCTTGCCGGGAACCGTGAGCTTGTGGCCAGGTACAAATGCCGCTCGCCACTCTCTTCGATAGGCACCACAGAAACCTCGAATGGAGACTGTTTTCCAGGCTGGCCGTGCATATGCCTAAAAATTGGAGTGTCCACTAAACCTAGATGGCCGTGGATAAAACTAACATCGGGGGTCATCCTGGCTATGGCCTCAAGGCCAAGGGTTACCGGTGAGGCGAGATGTCCACGAAGTTCTTTGAGCGGGAGTCCGAAAGCGGGGAAATCCGTTGAGTCCAAAAGTCCCTCGCGCGTACCCCCTGCCACAGTAACGACGCTGCGGAGGGACGAGCCATTGCGACAGAGGCAGCATGCTGGTGATGAAATGCATACGGGAGTAATAGATTAATGCCGGCAGCGCGTGAATTTTCTCACAGGTTTCTAGCGTTCCCGTTAGCTGAGTTGCTGGATGATGCTACATGGCTAGTACCTACCACTGCGATCCAGGAGTGGTACTCCCGCGCTGAGAACCAACATGTTCAGTGCGCTCTCCTTTCTTTGACTTGATTTGCTCGCACACGTTGTCGACGACGCGGATCAAGCGGATGTCGGCCTGGATAAAGATGTATTCTCCCTCCAGGTTCAGTGCCTTACACTCTGCGATGATGCGGTCTGCAGCATCTTGAGAGCGGCCGACAAAGTACGCTCGCGATTGCCTTGCATACTGGGCAAAAGCCGTCAGAGTGCTTTAGCCGATTCCGTTGGTTGCTCCCACAAAAACCGCCACCAGCCTAGGCGGGAGTGTGGAAGGAATCAGAGAATTGAAGGATTGGATTTCTGCTGACAGCGGAGACGCAATGACATGAGCTTCACATTGCCTCTGCATGAAGAAAGGCTCCCCTAATTATAAATTGGAAAGGGTTACATGGTCAATGTTGTATTGTCAGTATTATTAATGAAAATATTTAGATTAATGCAGATAACGCCGAATGGAAGGTAAAGCTCAATATGAACATGGCTTTAAAAAGAAAATAGGCCCAGCTTGAACACCACGTTCAGTGTTTATGGGTTGGGGATCAAGATTAGACGAGTATTAGGGGTACCTAAGAGCAAAGGCCTAAATTGTAGGATAGTCGAAGGTTGTACTGATAGAGCTATCTACAAAGAGCTGAATATAGTGTGTTGAAGAATAACGTTCATCTGTAATCTATCTAGGGTAGGTGTAGTAATCAACAACACCCCCCCTTGCTACACCGTCTCACTAATTGCGCTGCCACCATTCTACCCATTCCATCTCAATTCTTCCAAAAACGCAATAATAATTAATTACATTAATCAGACTCTGATTTCCTTATTAGGAAAAGCGTCTGTATGACATTAACTGTAAAAATCAACAGATACACACAAAATTCATCAATACACTGTATCATTATTACCTTAATCTTTCTTGATCTCCCTTAGACCAATGTTCTCAACAAATGCTTCAAATGCTGGTCTTGCCCACAGCTTGGTGAGGCCATCAGCTATATTAACTGTAGAACTAATATGTTTCATCACAATATATCTCTTTTCAACCAGATCTCAGAGAATATAATACCTTATCTCAATATGACATGATTAGTGTGTTAGAGATTCCGCTTTTACTAGATTGATTGCACTCTTATTGTCAACTTGTAGTCTTGAACAGATCTTCACTGTTCCTTTCACTAATTCAGCATCATATGACATATAACTCAGCCAGATCATCTCACAGACTGTGTTACTAACTGTGCCATGCTTACTCACTCTCTGTAGTGAGTGCATCACAGTGTATGAAAAACCACACTGTAAAGAAAATATTTTCAATATCTTTATTCTTCATCTTTAAATAATCATCATTAATTATAATCATGTCTAAATCTTCTAATTACACTGAGAAGCAGTTGTAAAGAGTGATTGATATATATAAAAGCAATTTAAAATTAAAAATCATATCTCTGTCATGAGAATTCAAAGTTTCATATATTATCTTATATGAGAGAATCAATAGAAAGAAATCAAGAACTATGAGAGTTTCATGAAATTATGCATTGAATAACAGTTAGAAAGAGATAATTAAGATATGAATTCATCAGTTGAACATTAATTTTTACTCATTCATTATCAAGTATATCAAAGCTGCTGTGAACTGCATATTAAGACAGTATTATACAGATTCAGAGACTGCATCTTTCACAGTAAGTAAGATATAAATATATCAATTTATCAAATATCTGTAAATAAATCAAGTAAAAACTCATGAATTTAAAATAAGTATCTTATGAGAATATAAGCTTCATTATCAACTGATTTAATTAATATAAAGCTGTCTTCAATTAATATCAATTTTTTCACTGTGATATCTATAACTTTGATAAGATTGAATTTTAAGAAGAAGAAGAATATGAATAGTGAGTTATAATTATCTTTAAAGACATAAATTTTATTATACAGTTATCATACTCTCATGAATTAATAATAGTAGTGAAGTGTGTTAGTGCAGATAGCACAGTATTGAATTTATTAATTATAATGAAATTAAAGATTCATCTAGAGAATTAATATATATACTTTAACTTATCTAATAACTACATTATTATTATATTCAAGTCTGACTTTACAAATAATGAGATTGAATTTGAATGAATTAAGCAGTTCAATAAGATGATAAAAAAGTGTCAAATAAACAGTTATCAACTGCTATTAATGAATAATTATAATTCTCATTTTATAGAAGAATTCATTGAATACTGCAATCTTTATAAGATTATTCTGTTCAGATTTCTATCTTATATAAGTTATATTCTACAATCTCTTGATAATATATCTTTTCAGCAGTATAAGTATTATTATATAAAGACAGTTAATGAGACTGTCTGCTACAGATATAAGCAGTATAATGATAGACAATTTCTTACTAATCTGAAGAGTATTCAACTGTAAGTATTTAAATCTAATACTGTGAGAGCTGGCTTTGCTGATCACAGAATGTATTCAGTTAATCACAATATAATTCTCAATTAATTGAGACCTCTTATCATTGATAATGTCTCAGATCTCAACATATACAATGATGATAATAATGTATGTAATCACTTTATCTCATCATCTGCAGATCAACTATTAACTGTCTTCTTACAATTAATCTTCTCAGAGACAGTTGCAAAAGTACATCATTAAATTAATACAGCAGTTAAGGTCTCAGAAGATGTGAAGAATACTCTTATATCTGATTTAATAAGATAGTTGAACAAGATCTTCAAGAATAGCATGATTCAGATGAAATTAAATATACACTGTGAAAATGAACTTGCAGATTATTATCAAGTAAATAAATATCAGATTATCAAATTCTCTTACAGATAGATACAAGTAGATGAAGTTCTCACTATTAAAAATGTCAATTGCAAGATCACAATTCATAGAGCAGATGAGATGAAAAAGACATTTAATAAGACTCTTCAATCAATTGAAATCAAATTTATAAAATCTACAGTCACTCAATCACAATAAGATAATTCTATAGAATCTCAACTTACAGTGAATTCTACACCTTCTAATGAGTATATAGATAATGTTTATATTAGAGATAGATGTGATAATGATTATTAATTAATTTTTGAAGATTACTATATTTAAAATATTTTCTTTACAGTGTGGTTTTTCATACACTGTGATGCACTCACTACAGAGAGTAAGTAAGCATGACATGATTAACTGCAATGTCTTCAGTCTCTGTAATTAATTTGATAATGAATATCTATCTCTGTGATCACTATGATACTGATGACTCATTTATCAATATAATATAGTCAGTGATTGATTTGTATTGAGAATCTGCTTCTGATTAATTTGAATTACAGTATATAACAGAACTCAAGTTGTCACTCTCTTTCTTATATAATAACTGTGTCATGCTTACTCACTCTCTGTAGTGAGTGCGTCACAGCGTACAGAAAATCACACTGTAAAGAAAATATTTTCAATATCTTCATTCTTTATCTTCAAATAATCATTATTAATTATAATCATGTCTAAATCTTCTAATTACACTGAGAAGCAGTTGCAAAGAGCTGTTGATGTGTATAAAAGCAATTCAAAATTAAAAATCACATCTCTGTCATAAGAATTCAAAGTCTCATATATCATCTTATATAAGAGAATCAACAGGAAGAAATCAAGAACTATGAGAGTTTCACTAAATCAAGCATTGAATAATAGTCAGAAAGAGACAATTAAGATATAAATTTATCAGTTAAACATTAATTTTTATTTACTCACTATTAAGTATATCAAAGCTGCTGTGAACTGCATGTTGAGATAGTATCATACAGATTCAGAGACTGCACCTCTCACAGTAAGCAAGATATGAATATATCAATTCATCAAACATCTGTCAGATTATAAATAAGTCAAGTAAAAACTCATGAATTCAAAACAAGTATCTTATAAGAATATAAGCTTCATTATTAACTGATTTAATTAATATAAAGCTGTCTTTAATTAATATCAATTTTTTCACTATAATATCTACAACTTTGATGAGATTGAATTTCAAGAAGAAGAAGAATATGAACAGTGAATTATAACTATCTTTAAAGACATGAATTCTGTTATATAGTTATTATACTCTCACAGATTAATAACAGTGATAAAGTGTGTTAATACAGATAACACAGTATTGAATTCATTAATTATAATGAAATCAAAGATTCATCTAGAGAATTAATATATATACTTCAACTTATCTAATAACTATGTTATCACTGCATTCAAGTCTGGCTTTACAAATGATGAGATTAGATTTGAATGAATCAAGCAGTTCAATACAATGATAAAAAAGCATTACATGAGCAGTCATTGATTGCTATTAATAAATAATCATGATTCTCATCTCATAGAAGAATTCATTTAATACTACAATCTTTATAAGATTATTCTGTTCAGATTCTCATCTTATATAAGTCATATTTTACAATCTCTTGATAATATATCTTTTTAGCAGTATAAGTATTATTATACAACAATAGTTAATAAGACTGTCTGCTACAGATATGAGTAGTATGATGACAAACATTTTCTTACTAATCTGAAGAGTATTCAACTATAAGCATTCAAATCTGACACTGTGAGAGCTGGCTTTGCTGATCATGAAATGTATTCAGTTAATTATGATATAATTCTCAATTGATTGAGATCTCTTATTATTGATAATGTCTCAGATCTCAACATATACAATGATGATGATAATATATGCAATTACTTTATCTCATCATCTGCAGATTGACTGTTAACTGTCTTCTCACAATTAATCTTCTCAGAGACAGTTGCAAAACTATGTCATCAAATCAATACAGCAGTCAAGATCTTAGAAGATGTGAAGAATACTCTTACATCTGATTTGACAAGGCGATTGAACAAGATCTTCAAGAGTATCATGATTTAGGCAGAATTGAATACACACTGTAAGAGTGAACTTACAGATCATTATTAAGCAAATAGACATTAAGTCATTAAATTCTCTCACAGACAGATGTAAGTAGGTGAAGTTCTCACTATTAAGAATATCAATTGCAAGATTACAATTCATAGAGCAGATGAGATGAAAAAGACATTTAATAAAACTCTTCAATTGATTGAAATCAAATCTACAAAATCTACAGTCACTCAATCATAATAAGATAATTCTATAGAATCTCAACTTACAGTGAATTCTACATCTTCTAATAAGTATATAGATAATCTTTATGCTATAGATAGATGTGATGATGATTATTAATTAATTTTTGAAGATTACTATATTCAAAATATTTTCTTTACAGTGTGGTTTTCTGTACACTGTGACGCACTCACTAACAGAGAGTGAGT